CTGAGCCATCAGCCCAGAGCCTGACGCGGGGCTCGAACTCACGGACCGCGAGATCGTGACCTGGCTGAAGTCAGACGCTTAACCGACTGTGCCACCCAGGCGCCCCTAAATTTCATTTTAAACATTTGATTATTCTTGGATAATTTATGCTTTCTTGTTTTCTAGAAAGAATATATCAGAATTCACTTTTAGAAATATATATCCTTGTATCTGCCTTTAAACTCTTTTGACAAGTTACTTTTTTCTGATAGTGTACTTTTCCCAACACTGGTGCTCGTATCATGATGTTCATTGGCGGTCCAGCCACTCAGGGGCCTGGAATGGTGGTTGGAGATGAATTGAAGACACCTATAAGATCATGGCATGACATTGAAAAAGACAATGCCAAATATGTTAAAAAGGGAACAAAGGTAATTTGGTTAAGTTTTTTGTTTTAATAGAAAAATTTCATTTGATGGAAGAGGAAGAATACGCATACTTTATAATAAGAAATCTGATATTGTGAAGTCTGATGCTGTAACTACTGTTCAGAATTGGAGAAATAGTCTCTTTTTTTTTTTTTTGATAGTTTAAGTTACAATTTTTCTGCTTGTAAATATTTAAAGACTTAATAGTAGCACCAGTAGGTAACTCTTTTTTTTTTTTTTTTTTGTGGTTGTATTTTTTTCCCCAATAAGTGTCTCTTTAAAGATTACTCCTGAGAGAAACCCTGTGTGCCTTTTTTGATATTCACGTTAAAGAATATCTTTCCTGCTTCAGGAAAAATTTCTTGAATTTTCCAGTTTTTCATTTGTAAGAGGCTTCCTCTAGATATGTATTTTGTTCAGAGGGTGAATAGTCCATCATTGACTTATGAGTTGTTTTCTGTTCATGTAACTTTAATTTTATTTGAGTTTGTGCTAGTACATTTTCACTTTTGACTATTGACTCCCTTGAATTGGTTCTGCTGTTAGTGTTCCTTTTTAAAAAAAAAATTCTCTGGAGTTTACAATTTTAGTTTAGTTGTACTATATTAACACTTCTTTTTGGTAGTCATAATATTTTTAAAAGTGTAAATAATAACATAATTTTTGTCACTATTACTGGATTTTTTTCCTGCCACCAGATTTCCCTTTTGAGGTTGGAAGTTTTCTTAGAGGTTCAAAAAATGTTTTGTATTTGTTTATCTTACAGCTTTTGTTAGTGTTTTTCTGTATTTTGGTGTTTTTGTTATCTGGGTGTGACTCAGCCAAGAAAAAGAGTTCTGTGTTCCTCTTCTACTATGTTTATGTATGAAGAGCAAGATATTTGTTATACCTTTTCTCCAAGTTTAGCTTAATTTAGGAGTTTATTAGAATGCCTTAAAAATGTGAAAGTGTCAGACTTATAGAAGTTACTGTATCACTTTATGAGGAGTTTTCTATTATAGAAAATTAGAACATAGCACACTTAAATTATTATGGGTTATAGTTTTAGTATTTTTTTTACGCCATTTTGATCTCCTTATGGGAAAAATGATTTATAGGATGGTTGAGTTTATACATTGATTTGATTTGATTTAAAAAATCTTTTGTAGCATTTTGAAGCATTGGCTAATCGAGCTGCTACAACTGGTCATGTTATTGATATCTATGCCTGTGCGTTAGATCAGACAGGTCTCCTGGAGATGAAATGCTGTCCCAACCTTACTGGGTATGTATTTAAATTTTTGTAGTTTTTAGGATTATAGGCTAATAATTAGTTTACAAAATATAGACCAATAATGACAGTTTAGGAAAAACAGCCATCATTCTACCACTCCAGGACAACTCTTAACAGTTTTTGATACTGCTTTCAGTAAAGCTCACTTTACATTTTTTTCTAAAATTCAGTTATAAACGCACAAGTTCTGTTTGAAAAGTTCATCTTGATGTCCTGCAGTCATTGTTTTATTATTGTAGAGCTTTTGAGCTATAATTCACACACCATAAAATTTACCCATTTAAAGCATACAATTGAATGTGGGTTTTTTTTGATCTGTTCACAGGTTGAGGAACCATCACCAAATTTAGTTTTAGAACATTTACATTACCCCAAGAAGTAACTGTACCCATTAGCAGTCAATGCCCTTTGCGGTTTCCTTCTCCTTCTCTCTCAGCCTAGACCCCTAATCTACTTTCTGTCTATAGATTTACCTTCTCTGGATCTTAGGGAAAAACCATTTCATCTTTCACCATTAAGTATGATGTTCGCCGTGAGTTTTTTTTTTTTAATTTTTTTTTTTTTTGATGTTTATTTTGAGAGCGAGAGCAAGCGAGAAAGACAGTGTGTGTCAGGGAGAGGCAGAGAGAAAGGGAGACACAGAATCCGAAGCAGGCTCCAGGCTCTGAGCTGTCAGCAGCTTGACACGGGGCCCGAACTCACGAATTGTGAGATCATTGACCTAAGCTGAAGTCGGACACTTAACCGACTGAGCCACTCAGGCTCCCTAGCTGTGGGTTTTTGTAGATGCCTTGATCAGGTTGAAGGATTTTCTATCCTTAGTTGAGGATTTTGTCATAAAAGGGTGTTAGGTTTGGTTAAATGCTTTTTCTACATCTATTGAGATGATCACATGGTTTTTGTCCTTTTTTTATTAATATGTTGTATTACAGTGATTTTTATGTGCTAAACCAACCTTGTATTCCTGGGATGAATCTCATTTGTGAATAATACTTTTTATATATTGCTGGATTTGATTTGTTAATATTTTTTGAGGATTTTGCGTCTATCTTCTTAAGGGACCTTGATCTATAGTTGTTTTATTTTTCTTCTTGTGATGTCTTTGGTATTGGCATCAGGGTAATACCGGATTCATAAAATGAGTTGGGAAGTGTTCCTTCCTCTTGCATTGGTAAGCATTACTTCGGGGATAATTTAAATAGGCTTTAAAAAACTCAATTAGGGGAGCTCCTGGGTGGCTCAGTCGGTTAAGCATCCGACTTCGGCTTAGGTCGTGATCTCATGGTTCATGAGTTTGAGTTCCACATTGGGCTCTGTGCTGACAATGCAGAGGCTGCTTTGGGTCCTCTGTCTCCCTCTCTCTCTGCCCTGCTTACACTCTTTTTCTCTAAAAAATACAGGGGCGCCTGGGTGGCTCAGTCGGTTAAGCGTCCGACTTCAGCTCAGGTCACGATCTCACGGTCCGTGGGTTCGAGCCCCGCATCGGGCTCTGGGCTCATGGCTCAGAGCCTGGAGCCTGCTTCTGATTCTGTGTCTCCCTCTCTCTCTGCCCCTCCCCCGCTTATGCTCTGTCTCTCTCTGTTTCAAAAATAAATAAACGTTAAAAAAAAAAAATACAAAGACATTAAAAAAACTTAATTATGTATGTCAATTCATTTCTCAGGTTTATTTATTTAATTTTATTCATCTAATAAATATTAATGAGCACTTACTATGTATCAAACTGTTCAGGGTATTGGATATACACAATGAACGAAACCTAAAAATTTACCCTCATGGAGCTTATCTTCCAGTGTAGGAGTGTTCAGTGTAATTTTCTATTGAACATGTTCTCTGTGTTGTCCCACTGAAATCTGGTGAGTGTGACTGAGGGACTGAATTTAAAATTTTAATTTTAATTGATTTACATGTAAGTTTTTGTATTTTCTAATTAAAAAAAAATTTTTTAACGTTTATTTGTTTTTGAGAGACAGAGATAGAGTGTGAGCAGGGGAGGGATGGAGAGAGAGGATGGACACAGAATCCAAAGCAGGCTCCAGGCTCAGATGTCAGCACAGAGCCCGATGCAAGGTTTGAATTCATGAACCACGAGATCATGACCTGAGCCAAAGTGGGATGTTTAACTGACTAAACCACACAGGTGCCCCATTTACATGTAAATTTAAATAGCCGCATGTTTGGATGCACAGTTCTAGTGAGAGGAGATGAGACAAGTAAAGTAGATAGGATGTCAGTAGGTAACAAACGTTAAGGAGAATAATAACGCAGGAAATGAGGTTTGCAGTTCTAAAGGGGTGAGAAGGGAAGGCCTCATTGAAGATGAGGTTTTAGCAAAGACCTAAGGAAATGAGGTAGTGAGCCATATGCATAGATGAAGGAAGAGTGTTCAAACAGAATAGCAAGGGCAAAGTTGAGAACATGCATAGGGCGTTTGAAATATAGCAAAGAGGCCACAGTAGTGGAGTAGGGTGAGTGAGAGGGACAGATTGTGATGGTCTTTTGACTATGGTAAGGGCTTTGGATTTCACTTTTGTTTTTTTAATTTTTTTTTATGTTTATTTATTTTTGAGAGAGACAGAGACAGACCACAAGCGGGGAAGGGGCAGAGAGAGAGGGAGACACAGAATCCAAAGCAGGCTCCAGGCTCCAAGCTGTCAGTGCAGAGCCTGATGCGGGGCTCTAACCCACGAACTGTGAGATCATGACCTGAGCCAAAGTTGGATGCTTAACTGACTGAGCCACCCAGGCGCCCCTGGATTTCACTTTGAGTAAGATCAGTAGAGGAGTGATATGATCTGTAATGCTGTAAAAAGGATCATCTGACTCCATTTACCTTCAGTGGTGAATAGGAATGCAGGAATACCAAGTGGTGGCTGAGAAGTGGTTGGGTTTTGGATATATTTAGAAGTAGAAGATTTGCTGATAGATTGGATCAGGGTTTGGGTAAAACTGAAAATCAAAGGAATTTACTGGAAGAATTGAATTGCCTTTTATTGAAATGAGTAAGACTGTGAAAAGAAGAGTATTTGGGGAGAAGATTAGGAGTTTAGTTCTGAACATGTTTGGTTTAAGATGCCAGTTGATATCCATGAGATGTTGAGTAGGCAGTTTGATATTATAACATAGAATACAGAAGATAGATCTGGGCTGGAGACATAAATGTGGGAGTTGTCAGAATATGGTGTGTGTGTGTGTGTGTGTGTGTGTGTGTGTGTGTGTGTGTTTTATGTTTATTTATTTTGAGAGAGATAGAGTATGAGCAGGGGAGGGGCAGAGAGAGAGGGAGAGAATCTCTAGCCGGCTCTGCTCTGTCCGTGCAGAGTCAAACATGGGGCTTGATCCCATGAATCGTTAGACCGTGACCTGAGTGGATATCAAGAGTTGGATGCTTACCCAGCTGATCCACCCAGGCACCCCACTGGTGTTTTTTTTAATAGCAGTAAAAATGGATGAGATTGTAAGATTTAGCAATCTAAGAGCAGTGCAAGTTGACTTAGAGTGAACTAGAAAAAGAACAGAGGGGTGCCTGGGTGGCTCAGTTAGGCGTCCGACTTTGGCTCAGGTCCTGATTTTGTGGTTTGTGAGTTCAAGCCCTGAGTCTGGCTCTGTGCTGACAGCTCAGAGCCTGGAGCCTGCTTCAGATTCTGTGTCTCCCCCTCTCTCTGCCCCTCCCATGTTCATGCTCTGTCTCTCTCTCTCAATAATAAATAAACATTAAAAAAAAAAAAAGAACAGAAAGAGAGGAATGGAAACAGCTGGTAGAGATTACAAGTTCTCAAACTTTCATGTGCAGATCATCTGGTTATCTTGTTAAAGTACAGATTCTGGATTGGCTGTGCATAGGATGGGACTTGAAATTCTCCTTTTCAAACAAGATCCTTGCTGATAATAATGTTGCTGGACCAAGGGCCACACCGAGTAGTGAGGTTATAGACAGTTATTTCATGGAGGTTTGTTGTGAAAAGGAAAAGATAAGTAGGGTGGTGTAAGTTGTCTTTAATGTAGGATGCATATCACCAGGTATAGTGATAACATAGATCATCATAGATGATGTTTATAAAAGTAGAAAATCTAAAAGAACCTATTTACTAACTGTTGGAATTAATATGTTAAGTTGTCAAGACTTCTAGATCAAGGTCGTTGTACAAAATTCAACTATATTTTTGTATACCAGTGACAAATATAGATAAAACAACATCTAAAAAGATATATAATATATAATAACATCAGAGATAACATAAATCCAGTATCAAAAATAAAATTACCATTAATTAATTATGCCATATCAGTTTTATTCTTTTGCCTACTTTAATTTTTATTGTATTGTTTGAAAGCTACTTAAAATATTTTAAAAATATGAGCAAATGTATGTAAATGTTTGTATGCATATGAGTTTATGGGTGTATCTATCCCCTTTTTGTAGAACAGGAGAAAATTCTACATATCCTTATCCACTTTGCATTTTCACTTATATTCTAGATAGTAGTCTACGGCACTATATTACCTCATTGTGTGAATGTACCATATTTTACCCAACTAGTCTCTAATAGATGGTCCTCCGGATTGTTTCCAATCTTTTATAACTAGTAATACTGAATACCCTTGTGCATATATTTGCTTTTTGTTTTTGTTGCCAGAATATTTTTGGGATAGATTCCTAATAGTGGGTTGGCTAGATTAAAGAGAAACCACAAGTGTAATTTTGTTAGATATTGGCAAATTCCCCTGTGTTGAGGTTGCATCATTTTGCATTCCTACCAGCAGTGTATGAGGGTAACTGTTTCTACAGCCTCACCAACAGACTATGTCATCAGACTGTGATTTTTGCTGATCTATTAGAGAAAAAATGGTACCTCAGAACTGTTTTTATTTGATAGTTAATGTTTTTTAAAACTTAAAAAAATGAGAACAGGTACATGCTTACTGAAAAAATTTGTACAGTACATGTACATAGTGCTTAAAGTGAAAATCGTTCCACAGCATCCTCCTATTCTTCTTCGCTAAGTTTCATGATCCTGTTATGTCTGATGTGATTGATACATACAGGCAGTATATGCATATATATACATATGCAGGTATATATTTGTTTTCAAGAATGAGAATGTGTGCTGGAGAACTGGGTGGCTGGGATGGAAGAGACACATTTGCTACTGTGTACCATTTTGTATCTTTTGAGTTTTTGTAGTATGTGGATGTGTTATCTATTTATAAAAAATAATGTTAATAAATTACTGAGAACAAATGCAAGTGTTAGGGGCACTCAGATGCTCTCAGGATTGAGATTATCTGTAGGGTGAAGATATTCTCATATATTTGAGTTTTTAAAATTAATGGTAGTAGAGTACATTTAGAAAGTATCTTTAAAATTTGTTGGTAGTATTGAGAGGTAATTTACTTTTCTGGTTTTAACACATAGGCCCAGTACTTGTGTCACATATATTATTTTTTGTTCTTTCTGTGCAGAGGATACATGGTAATGGGTGACTCTTTCAACACTTCCTTATTCAAGCAGACTTTTCAAAGAGTTTTTACCAAAGATATGCATGGACAGTTTAAAATGGGCTTTGGTGGTACATTAGAAATAAAGGTAAGCATCAAAACTTGACATGTGTGGTATGTTATTAAAAGAAATTTGTAGTCTTAACCATAATATTTAAATATCATTAATCAAATTCAATATAGACTTTAAAAGTAGAGATTTTGTTTACCAGAAAAATATATCATCATTAAATGTACATGAAATTTTACTTGAGCATTTACAAATAATTATTGGAAAAGGAGATACTATATAGGTAAAATTTCCTTTAACTGCTTTTTCTTTATATAGGATTTAACTTTTTAAGTGTGTTTTTTTCTTTTTTAGTGCTGTATTTGCTTCTGTGAGTGCTAGATTTATTTTATTTTGGGAATCAGTAACTGAAGAGAAATCTATTCCATTTGGATAATCAGTAATTGTTTTTTGATTAGTAGGTTGTTGATATTATTTACTTCTTTTTTTTTTTTTTT